CCTCCTCCTCCCTCCTCCTCCTCCCTCCTCCTCCTGCACAACATGCCCAAGGTTGGTTGTCAGTATTTAACTGGCTTCTTCAGCCTGTAGTGCTTTGTTTCGGTGAAACTTATGCGATGTTTCGGGACCAAACCATCAGAATAGCTCGCAGAATCTCCTCCAGCGGGAATTGCGAAGGAGCACCTGGCAGCGACAATGGCCACCTTCTCAAGAGCGGATTGGAGACTTTTCCTGTGACAAGTCGCAAACCAAACAAAACACAATTCTGGCAAATTCCGAACACAAAAACTTGCAGAAATTGGGGCGTCTCAAAAAAGAGACTCCCAGCCTTTCAGTCCACGTTCCCTCTTTCGAATGTTTTCATGCTTGGATCTCCCCCATCCTGAGATACACTGGGCTTGGGACCACACCCTTGATATGCTGTAAGTGAAGCCTCAAAGAGATGCCCCCACATAGAAACAGTTTTCCACACCTTTTGAATATGTTTGATTAAAACGGATTCACTACTATACATATATATTTTTCTATTTTGATCTATTTTTGATCTCACTATGACGTGCTCATCCTGCTCCGGCAGTTCTTCTCCAACCCACCTGAGCCGCCATTGGAGTCCTCTCGGTGGTGCCGAAGCTTCAGAATCGCTCGATCCGTGTACTCCTGGCAGGCGGAGTGGGGCGAAAGCGAACGGAAAATTGCCAGGCGAAGCCAAGCCTACGGCTCCTGGTGCAAGAGCACGAGGCATTTGAAAAGCACACAGGTCCGTGAAGCTGCACTGAGTTCAGCGAATTCCACTTAAAGTGTAAATGCCGCCTTAAAATGCAATTGTCGCTCATCATGAATCATGATCAGCTTGTCATGAGTGGAGCGTTTGAGGGTGTTCAGGTCAGGAGCCTCCTATTGCGGGGAGGGGAGGAAACTGAGTGCATCTGCAAGCAAGCTGCTCAAACGACTCAAAGGTTTTGCTCCCCAACAAGTAGGAAGACGTAGGAAACCTACGCACAACCAACACACTCTCAACCGAGGGTTGCAGCCAAGGCAGAAGTCCGCAGCTCCTTGATGAGTGGATACTTCTTGCGACACTCCTGGCCTTGGCAATGCTTCATCGAATGCGGGCGCCTATGCCACTGGAGCAATTGCAGCACACCACAATTCCCTATCCCGCGCAGGTATCGCAGGCTGTGTGCGAGGTATAGCAGTGCGAAGACGCAGGTGTTTTTGGGGTGGTGTCCATCCCCAAAAGCCTGCCATGGAATGTCATGGAGCTCAGTGTCCCTGCTGAGCTCTCGAAGCTCGGCTTCCACTTCCTGACCTGGGCCGGAAGGCTTCCACTTTTACTTCCTACGCCTGAAGGCTGACATCGTTGTCTTTGGTCTTTGACCCGAATGCGGCAGTGCAAGGCTACCATGGGGCACCATGGAAAGACCTGTGAGACAAAAATTGATCCCCTTCCAAGAAAAAGTGCACGTTTGTGAGACATTGTGGGACATAACATGGGGTTCCAGATTTAGTAAAATGGACGTCCTTCCAGCAAAACCTCAAAGCAAATTTATCTTGTGGTGGGACAAGTTGCACAGCTGCATGCCATATCCCAGGCCACAGCGGTGGCCTTGAAAAGCAGTGGTTTGCCGGTTGTGTCTGTGTCATTGGGTGAGCACGGGGAGCACCTAGTTAGTTCATCCATGTTCATCCCATTTCCCTGTCAGAAGGTCCAGCTAATATCAGCTCTCTCGGGGGCCCTCAAGCGTCCAAAGGGTTGCTGCATGTGGTTTCTCTCTTGTGGCAGCTCACCACTTGTCATACACAGCTCTGTAGCATGGTGACTCGGCTTGGTCACATGTTCCAACCGCATGAGGTCAAACTGAGTGATCTCTAAAAGAGAGCGCGCCCACTGGTGCTCCAACACTAAGCACCTCCCAGAACCCATTAACATGTTAAGTTTAGAGCCTACTTCCCAAACAAAAGAGTATCATAAATAGAAATGATTATATATATATATAAATACACAGAACGGGACCATCCGTTACTCCTTTGTACATAGGGAACTGGTTCCTGTGCTTGCGAGTGCGAGATAGTGGGTAACTTTTTCAGCTTTGGAAGACCCCTCCGCCAAAAACCATCTACCCGCCCAAGCGAACAAAAGCCCCAACCCTCCACACTAAGCACCTCAATTTAAGTGCAGCTCCACGGGGGGCTGGCGAGCGATCAGTGTTCAGAAGTGCAGGTTGGGTCGGTTGGCCACCGATCATTGGATCTATGGGCCACAGCAAGCTTGTAGCAAATTTAGATCACGGTGCAAAGCTGAAGGTTGTAGTTAGAGGTTCTTCCATTACAGCAGCAGCTGGGGTAGCCGCTGAAATGATGCCCACTTTGCCTGCAACTGTGCATCTGTGCGTGTTGTAGTCATTGAGGGCTTTATGCACGTGTTGACCGCCTGGTGTTTTTGTCATGGGGGCTGCTGATTGCACGAGCAGCTGATTGTATACCTTTCTCATGATTCATGTCATTTGGAGTCTCATTCGCAGATTGATGTGAGCCAAGATGATCCGCGCTCAGCAAATGCCTGGCTACTATTATACCTCGGGCCTCAGGGAGACCATGATGTGCCACCCTGGCCAAAACAAACTTGTACCTCAGTACTGACCAATCCAGTTGCATTATAGAGATGGCTCATCGTGTGGCCCTCCTTCTCCTTATTTCGAGCCATTGCCCCACAGCCCGAAACCCTGCCCGTCTTACTCAACCAGCAGAGCTAGGGACTGTAGACTATTGACTATAGGCATCAAGTAATGGGCAAAGGAGAAAACTGAACCTACTCTGTTTGGGGATCAAGAAGCCCGAAGCGCAAACAGCAAACACAAACCATCGGTTACATCACATGAAGCTTTCCTTGCGGCGTTGTACCGCACAAAGATTCAACGTGTTCAGTGATCCGGCTAGACAAACATGCGTTACAGCAACCATCTGCCCAATCGAAAATGGCTTACCAATCCTTAGCGGGTGTTGCTGGCACCTGACCGAGACGCCTTTTGGCTGCAAGTGAACGTGCTCTTGGCGACGCCACCCCTGCAAGCGCGAATTCTCACCTGTGAGGAGCTTGGTCCTGGCGCTCATCGCGGCGTTGGAATCGGAACCAGGCCGGTGGAACCCGAAAAGCTCATAACATTCATGAATTCTTGTAAAAGTGAAGCAGTGCTTCGCTCGAAGCACGGCACTTTCAACTCAAACTGTATTCAAATGTCCTCTATATAGTTGAGAGGTGAGCAAAGCTTGGTGAAAAGATGTTGTCCGATTTGATCTGGCTCCGTGATCGGGTAAAGAGTCACACCCAGCTTTTCCATGAGCTACCTGAGTTCATGGGCCTTTGCCATGCAGTATTGCGATGCCTGCATCAAACAAGTGGAAGTCCTTCAGGCCTTTTGAAAGGGCTTCACTCATATGCACATAGACTCATATAGAGCAATATCATGCAATATCAAGGTTCCACTAACAAACAAAACACTCCTTTGTCCAAGTGCATACATCTAGGTTTGCACACATTCAGTCTCCGCTCAAAATATTGGCCCATTCCCAATGGCACATTCGGAACTTCCTCTTTACATGTGGTGCTTGTGCCCCAGAGGCCCATGAATCGCTAAGCATTGCCAGCGTGGCACTGACCTCAGTGTGACCCTGTAGGTGAGCCAGGTTCATTCCTGATTCCTCACTCACTGGGTACAAAAGACTCTTAAAACTCCACACGCTCGACCGTCGTTCTGGCCGGGCGTGAGCCTTCTAGGCATAGAGCTGCGTCACAGGAGTAGGGTAAGCCGTGGCTTTGGTGCCATACATGGCTTCAAAGAAGCCTTCGTAATCATGCACCACCAGTCCTTGAAACGCATCACCATCCGCCCCGTAGCGGTAGTGCTCTTCCATGTCTGCAACCATTTGAAAGAACTTTGGCTTCTCCTTTGAACTCTTCTCAGTAACTATCACACACAACTCCCTAAATCAGTTCGGCACAGTTCCGCAAACTTTGAGACGCATTTGATCGAATACGCCCCCCTCCCTGAACAAAAGACACGAAAGAAAGACAATGAAGGATTGGACTCCTGGACCATCATGGACCTCACTTGAAATGGATCCTATTCACTCAACATCTCCACAACGACAGGCCCGTCCTGGCTGGCCACTTCCCAGAACGAATCACCTCGAGGTGCTCGTGGGCTGGTCTCAATGGCCACCGTCATCTTCTTACCGGTCTCCGTGGCATGCGCTAAAGCTTGGCTTCCCCAGGATGTAGAGGTGCTTGGAGAACTACTGTACGCCATGATCATCCCAACATCCAAGGTCTTTAAGGATGCTCTTACCATGTTCTCCTGTTGGTAGCTCCGGCTCAGCCATCCTGGCTTCAGTGAGGCCCCAAGCTTCAAGGAGGCCCCAAGCTCGTCCCTCCTGGCCATGATAAGCTGGTTCATTTGCAAGTATTCTGCACTGATACTCGTTGGCTCTTGATCCCCATCAATTCCTTCAACGGCACTGGCTGGAAAGGCTTGATTGAAGTGATGAACTGCGGAGACCACATCCGCCGCCCGCTGCCAATTTGACAAGTCATTGGGCGAGTCATTTAAGTAGTAGGAAGCAACTGGCACAATGCCAGCGTGCCGAAGAGCTGCAAACAAAGAAACGAAGGCGTCTTGGTGTGGAAGTTCCTTTGCTTGGAATGTCTGCCAGTCCCACTGAACCGATCCAATGAAGACAATTGCACGATTGAAACCGTGCAAGTGGCAAACAGAGATGAGCAACTCAATGTCTGATAATTTCCAATCCCACCAAGCATGACTCAAATCTCCTGGGTTCCACACATACAATGCCTTCTGGGCCGAGACATACTCCACATAGGGATTGGGAGATGTGCTTTCAACACTCGTGCTGGTAGCAGTTGCTGCAATGGTACTTGTGATGCTCGTATGCTCAAGTGTGCTGCTCGTGCTCGTGCTCACAGCGCTTGTGCTCGTGGTGGCTCCGCACTGGCACGGTATGTTGATCCATTGGCACACCCCGTTGCTCACACGGCACCACGAGCCTGGGCGAATAGAAGCACAAAGCTCATTGCCACACAGCTGGGATACCGATGTGCTTTCTTGGCTGGAGCTCGTGGTAAAAGGTGAACTCAGCGTCGTGGTGGGGGTGGCGGCGGTGGTGGTCGTCGTGGTCGCTGTCGTGGTCGTTGCCGTGGTCGTTGTCGTGGTCGTCGTCGTGGTCGTCGTCGTGGTCGTCGTAGTGGTCGTCGTAGTGGTCGTCGTAGTGGTAGTGGTAGTAGCAGTTGTGGTTGTCGTAGTTGTGGTCTGGGTAGGTGAATGCGTCTCGCAGCCACATGGCACATCAACCCATTGGCAAACACGGTTACTTACACGACACCACGATCCTGGATAGAGAAGATTGCAGAATTCATTGCCGCAAGAGGGCTCCTGCTTCTGCTCAGCCAATGCCAATCCCGTGACTTTGCTACCTACTTGGAGCAGCAAGTTCTCCTTAGCACAGGAGCTCTTGCCGGCGATTCCTCTGCAAAGCGATGCCAGGACGCACAGAGCAACAAGCCTCTGGGACGCCATTGTGCACACCCCTCTCCTTGGTGTGCACACCCCTCTCCTTGGTCCAAATGGCCTTCAAATTCAAAGTCGCCCACTTAGCCCACAGCCCCTGGAGTTGCCACTGCAAAGTTGCCACTGAAAAACTTCAAGACCCCCAACCCGGAAGTAAAAACCACTCTTAGACCTAACTCTTGACCTTCCTGGGTCAAAGCCTTTCGCACAGCTCTGCCACATCCGTCGCCTCGGGCTCCACCGCTGTCGACTTCTTTTTCTCCTGTCCACTCCTCAGCTCCCAGCTCGTTCAAAACGCTGCTCTCCATCGGTCAAAGAAGTTCCAGTAAACAAATGCTCCAAAAAGGGCGGAAGTTCTGAGAAAAAACAATATAGCATGTTCATGCATGTTCTGAGAACGTCCTTCATCTTCTTTCCTTCACCGCATTTTTGACCACCATCGGCATCTACTACAATAGGTTTTGGAAATTCTGCACATTAAGTCGCTGGGGCAACCTATGAACGGAGGGTTGCAGAGTGCAAGAAGACGTCGGATGTGACTTTCACTTATTGAAAAGCACCTATGCGTGGCTATGGATCCTTATATACGGCTTGTGGCGGAAAGCGCATAATCCATCAAATCTCAGTTTCCAAAGTAAACCCTCAGAGCCTGAATCAAATGCGACAATTCTGAACACCCGCAACTTGCGAGTTTCATGTTTGCATGTCCGCTTTTTCCAGAGCCCTTGATAGTGGATGGTTTTTGTTAAATTGTTGGCCAGTGCAGCCAGTCAAACAGGACGCAGGGCGCACTAACAAGAACCACCCAACACAGATTTGTCCAAGCAGGGAACCCTTGCCATGGACATGTTCTTTCATCCCGTTGAAAGCCAGGCAAAGGCCTCCGTTCAAAGCACAGCAACAAGTTGCCGGTGAGTGTGGAGGTGAAATCACATAGCTCTTGCCGCTTGCCCGTGGATTTGACCGACTAACAAGGGAAACGACAATCATTGTGCTCAAGAGTCCCGGCTACTCGATCGATAAATACGAGCAGACTATGCTGTCCTCAACATCAGCATTGAAGTTCTTATAGTGGCCCCCAAAGAGATAGAAATGGTGTCCAATATGTTTAAACAAATATTTGGGGGATTTGGGGGGTCTATTCTAAATTTCTAATCATCTCATCTTGTTCCATCTTGTTACTCGCATTCGTTCTACGGCATCACAAGCTACACAACCGAGCTGCGTTCAACTCCTCGAGTTCGGCGGCCGGGCGGTGTCCTCACAGGTGTTTTTCGCTTGCAACTGGCAACCGTGGTTTTCCGATGTGATTTTCTTGGCCAACGCATCCGTGGGTTCAAATCTAATGTGGATGAGAGGCTGCAAATAATCACAAGTGCAGAAATTGTGCTATGCCTGTGTCTCGGGGGGGCCCGACAAATTCTACAATTGACAAAGCGGTCTTCAGCTGCACCTGATCCGACCCAAATTGCTGAACGCTTTTGTGCCAGCCGGATCCAGCTGGTGACTACGAACCCAATGGAAAATGTCGGAAAAACCAGCCGATCAAGTCCACTCGACATGTTGGGCCATGCGCCCAGCTCACTCGATGTTGGGACAACTTTGGGATGGCGAATGCAGGGGTGCGAACGGACATAGCCCCTGAAGTGACCCTTCAGTCACAAAAGGGGTGATCTTGACCTCGCGCACGTGTGATGAGGGTGCCCGAGCATGTCTGAAAGCACCAAGTGGAAAAACATGCTATACAGTGCTGTACAATGCCATTAGCAAGTCCTAGGCGAACCATGTGCTCGACCTAGGTGCCTCCACGCGAAGAAGCAAACAAAAGCTATGCAGACCACGTGTCCGGCATAGCAACCAGGCAGCCGGCTAGGTAGACCATGTGTCCGACCTATCCGGAAGCCTTCAAGGAACAAAACCTCCTGTTTTGTCAGTTTTAGCTGATCACGCAGCAACCTGCGTTTCCTCCGACATGTTGCATCAGCCAAGGGTTCTTCAATGCCTCTTCTGCATCGCAGCGTTGAGGCTCGGGTGCAAGCATTTGCTTCGTCAGCTCTAAGGCACCATGGCCTGCTGCATTCCTCCAAACTTTCCTGGTCTGGCATCAGCATGACCATGGAATAGTGAAGATGGGCGGGGGGAATGTGGCTGGTAAACAGGAACTGGTCAAAAACAATGCTGTTCACGGCAGTTCATATATAGAGGTCATTACTGTGGAAAGAATACCTTTACCGGAAATGTGAGGCGTTCTGGAGCAAGAATTCTAGAGTTTGTAAGAATGGACAGGGAAACCGCCACGCCTGCCAGGCCTGCGATTGGAAATGAGAGCTGGCCCTTTTCCGACACATAGAAAACAACTGAAATCATTCTTAGGCCAGGCTCTGATCCAATAGGCCCACTTCTTTCTCTTCATCTCCTGGTCTAGAGCCGATGACCAATTTCATAAAGGTCACTCCAATGCTGTAAAGGTCGCACTTTTCCTGAGCCGCTCTCTCCGCTGCCGCGCGCGTGCCGCACGTGCCGCGCATGCCGCGCGTGCCGCGCATGCCGCGCATGCCGCTTCGTTCTCTCCCTCGACTGTCTCACTGGAAGCCTTGACTATCAGGTACAGATAGGTGTCTTTAAAAATATATATATATGTTTCAGGAAGTATGCCCGCAGAAGACACCCATGTACCTGCAAGACCTTTTGAGGACACAAGGCCTTCCACGAGCAATTAACTTCAGCTTCCAGTACATGGCACGTCTAAACAAACGTCATTATCCTGGCCCAGAAAACCTTCCCCCCTATCATCCCGCCCAAAAGGCATTGAACATTTGTACCTGGAGCAACATGTCTTCTCTCCCCATCCTGGCCGTGACAAACAACGGCCATAACTCGCTTGTCGGCGTCGCCGGCGACACCCACATGTTAGCCATTCAGAGACTTATTGAGGTTCGACATCTCTCAATTACTCTGACCATCCTTACCCTGTTGAATCATGTAAGAACATGTACGTCGAACTGGCCTGAATGAGCCTTGAAGCATTGAGCCCCCCCCGGTCCGTTACAGGCGCCGATGTCATGATGTCGGCCAAGCATCAGTGTAGCATTGCTCGTGGACCTCCGGTGCAGCATAGCCACGAGTGCCCACCTCTTCGGTCATCTGGCCCCTGGGGTCAAACTCGCAAGCCTTGGAGCTTCAGGCGGAGAAGTACGACAGGTGTTGGAACATGAGAAATGTGAGAGGGATCGCTTTCAAGCTCTGAGTTTGACACTTGGTATGTCAAATAAATGAATCATTCTGTGTTTGAGTCTAAACCTCTACAGGATTGTACAGGCCTACATTTCGGCAAATGCCCGAAGACTCCGCACCAAGTTAAAGACACCGATGGGCCCAGAGACAAACAGTGACAAGAAGCTAGATTGAAGTCAGCCAGCTTCCAGGTGCTTTTGGACAGAAGCAGGTTCCCCGGTTTGATATCGCGATGTGCCACTGAGTTCTCATGCAGAAAATTCACCTCAGTCAAAGCTCAGCATGGTGCAAGTAGCCTAGATGTATTCTGACAGACAAACTGACAGACAGACTTCTCATATGTTCTCATGACCCCACCGCCAGTGGGGCCAGTGGGTCCGCCAGGCGTGCTCTCCCTGTTTGTGTCTCACACTCCAGCTACTTCTGTTTGACCGGCCGAGCTAGCCAAGCTGCAGCCTTCAGCATCTGATGCAGGATGAGGGCAGATTCCCAGGCTTGGGGGCCGCAGTAGCTCCAGCCGCTCCTGCAAAGGAAGGAACGAGGCGCAACGAGGCGCCCTATGGCCATACGCCTCAAAGTCATGAAGTCTGACCATGACCTTTGGCTTCAAGCCGGAGCAGGCCCCTCATTGCATTCTGAGGTTGGCCGTCTGACCCTTGAACCTCAAGTGAAGGCTCGGTACCCACACTAACTTGTCGATCCTTGATTAAAATGCGCACACATACTGGGATCCCACTCCGGCGATACCAAACCTGGGAGCGAAGAAAAGCAACACCACCTCACAAAAACCCGCGGGAGAGAAGTGAAAGAACTTGTGGCCCAGAGGGGGTGGCGAAAGCTAGGCAAAGAAACAACGCTGGGGCTCTTTAGGCAGCAAAAGCCTGGCCGGGAATCGCAACATGCCATGGCCAAGGGAAAAGGAGAGCGCCAACAGCGCCCCCCCCAATACGACCCCAACACAGCCAACACATGGCAACACACAACCACCCCAGCAACCGCAGCAGCAGCAGCAGCAGCAACAGCCACAACAACAATAACTGTAACCAGCAGCGGCAGCGGCAGCAAGCAGAAGCTACCAAGCAGCAGCAGAAGCAGCAGCAGGAGTAGCTAGCAAGCAGCAGCCCAGCTACCAAGCAGCAGCAGCAGCAGCAGGAGGAGCAGCAGTGGAGTTGAACCCCGCGGGGGGGGGGTATAGTCCTGATATATCAGGTAACAGCACTCAGGTCCTGGGCTCCCACCCTCCTTGCTAAAGCAAGACAGACTCCAGCTAGCTACAGCTAGCTTTCGTGACAAGCTCAGCTTGCTGTCAGCTTTCACGACCATCGGATCCACACATTCAACAGTTCAAAGGGTCCTGGCCCCGCCATACCCACCGCACTTCACAAAGTTCGAGTCGATGTAATCGCTCAAGCTGCCGCCAGAGCAGAGCTCCAGCATCACGTCGATCACGCTTCCGTTAGCATAGACATCCTCAAGAGCAATGGAACAGTGCCCCTGCAACTGAGTTTTATGATTGGAATGCGCTGCATCCATGATACAAATCACAAGTGGCCTTTGGTTGTTGTAGGCTTAAGCCTACAGGGCTGCACTACAATGTCGGGCCCTTTCAAGCAATCATGATCACCCATGATTCATGATGACCCTTGCAAGCTTAAAAATACACCTGACAGTCTGACATGTGCTCGCTGGGAAAGAGCTGCCCGACAAACCATCTAGAGCCCAGCGACATGGACTCGAATGATGTTTTCGTGCTTAACCCGTTTCAGCAGCTGCACCTCGACTCCATTGAAAGGATCCTGTTTGGCGGTCTAAATCAACCAGAACTCTTGACAAAAATCACACACAAAGGCCACTCTGATCAAACAAGAAATATGCATGTGCCCTAAGATTGCCGAGTCCTCCTTCAGGTCAATTCGTTTCCTTGGTGGACTGATGTCAACTGGGTGCAGTTACATTGCAGCACGTTAACATGTGAACAGGCGCCCGGCGGGAACGTCAAACGAGGCTTTTGAAAGCTGTATGCTGTATGCTGCATGCCATGTATTCATCAACTTCTATAAGATTTTCCAAGTCCAAGGGTCCATGCAAAGTGTTTTTTGCTGAACTTGTCCTTCACCTCTTTCACTTCTGCATATTTCCCTTTCCCAAGAGACTTAAGGATGGTGAAGCTCTCCTGCGCAAACATATTCAAGCACCAGAAAAATATCTGGTGATCTGCAAATATCTTTCTGGCGTGATTCAATGGTTTGGAACGTTCCAGGCCTTAGCTTTGGGTCCCGCTGCCCATGGTTTCAGCCTAGCATTCATGCCTGGCAGCTGCACAATCACAAGCCTACATTTCTGGTGCTCCTCCACATTGTTGGAGCAGCAGGTGGAAATGTCATCGGCCAAATCCATGGCAGTTTCGAGCTCAAGAAGCCCTGTCGAAGAACCCTGGGATGTGACTGTTTGAAGCCGCTGAGCCATGCAGCGTCCACACAGCATCACCCAGCCAGTGATGTGTCATGATGTCTCCATTTATTGGGTGAAAAGCTCGCATGAAGCTATTGGGCGTTCAACTCCAAACATGGGACCAACAAACGAAGTTCTGTACCAAGCTCCACTACCTGCGCGCACGTAAGTGCAATGGATGAGGTCAAAGCAAAAAGAAACACACATTCATCCTCAAGTAGCCTCTAGTGCATCATTTGGTCTTCTAGTGCTTGTAACAAGCATTGGATAGCATTGGCCTTCCTGCCATTGGACGACCCACACGGCAAGCCATTCAGGGATCGTCCTTCCACGCATAGTGGAAGGGCGGCGAATTCGTAGTCGGGCATAGCGGCAGGATGGCAAGCCGTGCTTTGGAAGGGGACAATGGCAGAACACCCCAGGAAACTGCCATCTCGGGCGTGTCCTCCACGTGATATGGGCAAATCCCAAGAATTCATGAGTCAAATGAGTCACAGGCCGTGACATGTCCATGGCCACGCGATAATGACATGCCATGTCTTAAAGTGTGACCATGTGTGAACTATATATGTCTGCCACATATTATATAAGTACAAATACGATTATGATTATATGCGTGTGTGACCGTATGACTGCATGATACTGTATGGATCCCACTCATTCTCGGGAAATTGGAGGGGAGCACTGAGGTGAGGGTAGGGGAGCGGGATTTTGGATTGTTGGTCGAACAGCTGCAACCGCTGCTGAATGGACCATCAACGACTTGTTGCGGCCGACAAGTTCCAGCGCACAGCGCCGTCTGCTCACACGCTTCGAGCCAAAGGGATTGGGCGCGCCACTCGGAACTTGGTCAAGCTGCCTACTATGTGCCCCATCCGTTCTCGAGGCATGCACCACTGATCACCACTGAAGCAAGGAAGTTGCTCACCGCCAAAGGCATTGAACAAGTGTTCAGAATGGATTCTTGAATGGATACCACTACAGTGGAGCTTTCGCCACTCGAATCTGCTTGGTGGCCGCAAAAAATGGTCTCGTGCCATGATGATGATGATGATGATGATGATGATGATGATGATGATGATGATGATGATGATGATGCTGATGCTGGTGATGATGATGATGATGATGATGATGATGCTGGTGATGATGATGATGATGATGCTGGTGATGATGATGATGATGATGATGATGCTGGTGATGATGATGGTGATGATGATGATGCTGGTGATGATGATGATGATGATGATGATGCTGGTGATGATGATGATGATGATGCTGGTGATGATGATGATGATGATGGTGATGATGATGATGATGATGATGATGATGATGATGATGATGATGATG